CGGGTTGGTCCTGGGGGGACCTACCCGGCAGCGCCCCAGCTGTTCTGTCCCAGGCTCCAGATTCAGCCGCTGTTGAAACTGATCATTGGCTGATTCCAGGAAGCTGGGGGCAGAGCAATTCTGCCTCCAGCTTCCTGTAGTCAGCCCCTGGTCAGTTTCAGCAGCAGCAGCTGAATCTGGAGCAAGTTCCGACTTACATACAAATTCAACTTAAGAACAAACCTATAGTCCCTATCTTGTACGTAACCCCGGGGACTGTCTGTAGTCGATGGAAATTCTATCGACTACTCAGTTCATTAATCAAAATTTAACATCCCTGGTACCTGCATGGTTAGACTAAGCAATTTAAATATGGCAGAACTCATTACTGACATACACGTGGTAATTTACATACGTATGCATGCACACACGATCACACATACATCCTTGATCTGAACAAAGACTTGCCCTGGTTACCATTATAAAATGAGCTTTCCTTACATTCAACACACTATTGACATCAAAAGCTAAGTATGGGACACTTTCAGCCTACTCAATTAGCGTCATTAGCACCAGGACTGCAATTGACTGGTGCTTTATTTTTTTTCTTCCCTCTCCTTCCCTCTCCCCTTTTCTTTCTCCACTCGATCATCTCATCTGAAGTAGTGGGTTTTGCCCACAAAAGCTCATGGTACTATTTGTTTCTGTTAGTATCTAAGGTGCCACAGGACTACTTGTTTTTAGCAGCATTCAAAGTCATTGTACTCTTACATTTTATTGATCTGTTCATTAGCAAAACATGAAAGTGAAGCAACATGGGTATATTGTAGTTCTGATATGGTATGTGGAGCTGTTTTGTTTTGACCACAGGGAAGGGGAAATGCTTTAACTGAAAACAGGCTGGTAAGTGGACAAAGGAATAAAAGGGCATTGCGCATGCTTATTTGGCGACGTGAATGATCATCTACAAAACTGTTTTTCTCCAAAAGATTCAAAAGACTGATGTGTTATAAACACTGTGAAGGACACTTGAACTTCTGTGTTAGTAGTGGTACGAGAGGGGTAGTAGTGGTACGAGAGCCATGTTAGTCTGTATCTGCAAAAACAATGAGGAGTCCAGTGGCTCCTTAAAGACTAGCAAATGTATTTGGGCATAAGCTTTCGTGGGCAAAAAGCCACTTCATCAGCTGCATCTGATGAAGTGGGTTCCAGCCCATGAAAGCTTATGCCCAAATAAATCTGTTAGTCTGTAAGGTGCCACTGGACTCCTTGGTGGGTGGGTGGGTGTGTGTCTGTCTGTCTGTAAGGTATTGATACATGCATCATAAAAACTGTGCCGAGTTCTTGTATGCATGCCCATGAGTCCTGCTGTAGTCCAAGGGAGCCCTGTGCTTGCATTTAAGGACAGAACACAGCCCTTCATACTTGCCTCCAACTTACTTTCCCTTTTGTGTTTTCATACAGAATTTCTATTGCAGATGCTTTGGGGCCTGGAGTCTGACAAGTTGTGGATAGGAAGGGGAGCTAAGCAGATGTGGCATTGAGTTGGGACTTAAAAGAGGTAGTCTCTGTTTGCAGCTCAGCCACAAGACATCCTGTGTGATGTCATTTAATCCAATCTGTGCCTAAGTTTCCCACTTGTAAAATGTCGGTAATACTTCTAGTTCATAAAGGTGTTGCAGATAAAATCCATAAATAGTTTTGAGGCCCTTAGTTATTGGTGTGATTAGGGCCGTATAAGTGCCTATCTTACTGGGTGCATTTTGCCCCTTGTGTGGTGCCTTGTATGTCTGCAAATGATTGTAAATGCAATACTTTGCATTGGATTTTCAGAAGTGTTGAATATCCACAACTCCAGTCATAGCCATTGGGAACTGCTGAAAAGTGAAGTCCTTTGTACTTACAGGGCCTTTGAGTCAGAACAGCTCACACCTCTTTACATTAGAATAAAGATAAAAATTCCCAAGTATCTAGCAAGGGGCTTTTAATGAATTTAGGCTGCTTCTGAAAATGGAATTTTAAGTGCTACCCTGTAACTGGTTGTGTTTGCAAATCTAAAAATCTTCACAGAATAGGTGTTGGCTATAAGTTAAGCCAAGATTGTGAAGCTTTTTACTTCTGGGGCATGATTTTACTTGACAGCAAAGTGGTAAAAAGAAATGAACTCTGAGGTGAAAAGAAAGGCAGTGTGCAGCCAGGAAGATGACTGAGGCTGGATGGGGGCAGGTCCCCAACCAGTCTGGGGCTGCCCCAACTAGGAATGTTTACTATCGGTGAATTGAATAGTCGAGTAACCTCATGAATTCTTATCAGTTAGTTGACTATTCTATAGTCCCCGGGGGCGGGGGCGACAGCAGTGCGGATGCCAGGCAGGAGCTAGTCTGCGAGGGGAGCCAGTTTAAAAATCAGCTCCTCTTGCAGGATGGCAGCAGCCCATGTCCGGGGAAGGAGGTGTGTCTGAGCTCCCGGACGTGGTGTGAACAGGAACTGAGCTGAGCTGCCTGCCCGCCCAACACCTAATACACCTTAAATGCAGAGCCACAGCGGGGATACGTCCTGCACCCGGCCTGAGTCAGTACTGAGCCAGACTGCTGGCCAGCCTGCTAAAAAAACTTTACTGGTTGGGAGGGGGGAAGGGAAATGTATGTAGTCTGTAGCATTAACCTATAAGCTTTTGCTTACCAGTTAATCGATTACTCTATTAACCCTTAGCCTCAACCCCAAGAGCCCCCCTCTAGGTACCATTTAGGTAGGGCAGAGAGGCTTAAGCTCACCTCCCCCTGAGATTCATAGAACCAGAACACTAGAACTAGAAGAAACTTTGAGAGGTCATCCAGTCTAGTCCCCTGCCCTGACGGCAAGACCAAGCACTGTCTAGATCATCTGTGATAGATGTCTGTCCACCTGCACTTAAATATCTCCAGTGATGGAGATTCCACAGCCTCCTTAGAAAATGTATTTCAGTGTTTAACCTCCCTGATAGTTAGGAAGTTTTTCCTAATGTCCAACTTAAACCTCCATTGCTGCTTGTTCTATCATCAGTGGCTAAGGAAAATTATTTTTCTCTCTCCTCCTTGTAACAGCCTTTTAGGTACTTGAAAGCTGCTGTTAACCTCGCTCTCTCTTCTCTAGACTAAACAAACTCCGTTATTTCAATTTGCCCTCATAAGTCATGTTTTCTAGACCTCTAATCATTTTTGTTGCTCTTCTCTGGACCTTCTCCAATTTCCCCCATCCTTCTTGAAATGTGGTTCCCAAAACTGGATACAGTACTCCCGTTGAGGCCTAATCAGTGCAGAGTAGAGCTGTGAAGGGTTACGACTCATGTCTTGCTTACAACAGTCTTGTTAATGTATCC